GGGGATGATGCACCTCTGGGCAGCTGCCCCCTGTACAGCTGGTACATCCCCAGGGCTGGGATGGCTCCTGGTTTCTTCTCAAGCAGGGGAGGCAGAGGAAGTATGTGGGGGCCACAAAGCTGCTGGAAAAAAAGTTGGAATGAGCTGTGTAGCTGCAGTTCAGTACTGACCATGCCTGTGGTCTGGAGCAAGGAGACACACGGCAGCATCCCTGGGGACCGGGGCTTCCTTGGGTGTGGGCCCCCTGCGCCTGTCCCCGATTCTCTCTGCCCTTTTATCCTTGTTAGGAGTCATTAAGGAAAATGGTTGTTTTCCAGAGCCGGGGCCGGGGCCATCTGCTCTCCCAGCGCTGTCTAAATCCCCCTGTAACAAATTCATTGGGATTATGCTGCCCTCCCCTAATCCTGGCCCATCCCCCCGCGTGGGGGATTTAAAAGGATTAGAGCCCGGCCGATAATAAACTTTATTAAGGGGGAGGGGGGGTGTCAATCCGATTTGGAGCCTTTTTCTTGATATCTTTACTTTGCCCAGGTGGGAGGTGAGGGATGGTGGGATGGGGCGAGGGCACTCAGCTCCGCCGCTGCCCTGGCTCAGGAGCTCTGGCTCCCCCAGCCCTTCCTCCCTCACCTGCCCGTGAAATAAACTGTCTCCCTCTGCCTTTCCTTTAATGTTTGTACGTGGTTATGGCTCCAGGTGTTGTGGGGCTGGCACCCCTGTCCCAGCACAGAGCAGGGCTGGCTCCCCCGAGCCGGGTGCCGGCCCTGCTCACCGCCGGGTGATGGATGGGGAAGGTCTCATCGCTGCAGCCCTGCTGCCTCCTTCTCCTTGATTTCCCTGGGGGGTTCACCCCCAACATCAATAACCCCCCCTCGCCAGCTGCTCCCCTGTGTGGGACCGAGGGATTGCGATGTGGGGCTGCCCGTGGTCACCTCAGCCCCAAAATCTGCCGGTGGGGTGGGCAGGGGTGCAGCAGGTGGAGGGAGAGGGGATTAGGGCTGGGGAGGTTAGCGGCATGCCCAGATTAGCATCTCCGCCGGGCCGCAGCCTAAAGCCGCTGTGCACGCAGGAAACGGAGAGTCTCGTAAATAGACTTTCCGTAATCCTGTTTGGTGGAGGCACAATCCTCCCGGCCCCGGCTCTCCCGACCTGTGGCACCGGGGTGTCCCCTGCCGCACCTGGGGAGCCCCAGTGCAGGGCACAGCGGGGCTGCTGCAGGGCTCGGAGTGTCCCCCACACTCTGTCCCCCTCTCGGGATGATTTGGGGACAGGTCCCCCCTCAGCCCTGCGGAGCGGGAGCGGCAAACTGCTGCGGTCACACTCGCAGGTGGCACAGGCTGTCCTGAGGACCCCGAGGTGCCCTCCCTGATGGGGTCACCCCTTCTCGGCACTGCCACCATCCTGGGGGTCCCTGGGGCTAATTACCCAAATGGCCGCAGGCTGCCGCGAGGCGGCCGCTATTCCCTAATACAATTTACCCTCAAGTGCAATTTAATTTTCCTGCAGGCCGGTGGCCAGCCCCCCGCACACCCAGCCACCTTCCCACCCCTTCAGTGCTCGCTCCTTCCAGCCCTGCCCGATTCCCCTTTCCCTGCTCGGCGCAGGGAAGAGCCTTTCTCCACCGGCATCCCATCTCCACACGCGCCGCAGCCATAAAATCACCGGGGCTTCGCTGAGCGCCGATTAATTCTCAATTACAATTAGCAACGCCCCTGCCTGCGAGGGGAGGAGGCTTTCCCCGGCTGCTGGTGAGTACCCGGCTCTCTCTCGATGTGCTTGTCCTCCTCCAGGCCGGTCCTGCAGTAGGGATGTAAACGGGAGGGGTAATTATTGGGATAATTCAGATAGACTTATTTATCTGGGGGGGCTCGGGGTACTACGGCCGATGCTGCCCAGAGGGGGAAGTGGCTTCATGGCAAAAGGACATGAAGCTGTGGCAGCTTTGGACTTGCAAGGATGTCCCCACTTTGGTCTGGAGGAGCGGGTTTTGTCACATGAGGGGACTCGGAGCTGGGCTTGACACCGGGCAAACTCGCTGCATGAGTGGCACAAAGCCTCAGCTCCCTGGCACCTCCAAATCTGTTTGGGGTTTGCTGACTGGGACAGAACTGCACTCGCAGCCCCCAGGCATGAGTCGGGACCTTATAGTTTCCAGTTTTCCTTATATTTCCTTATATTGCTTTACATCTCCCCAGTTCTGCCTAGAAACCCCCTTGTTGCACCAGGGGACAATGCACTGATGTCCCCCTCGGTGCCACAGTGTCCGAGCCAACCCTAATTCCAACGTGCCCGGCGCTGGGGCACACACGGGGAGGCTGGCTCTGTGTTTTGGCACAGGCTCTGGGATTTACCTGCATTTTATTAATGATGAATCGCAGCAGGGAAGGTGTGGGAGCAGCATCCCTGCTCGTCTGTGGGTTTTGCATCATCTCCTCATGCTGCTCGTGTCTTCCTCTGGCTGCAGGGCCAGAGGGCTCCAGGCAATGCCAAGGAAGGAGCAGGGCATCTGTGTGGGGCCAGAGCCCCCCAAAAGTGCCCCAAAAATGCAACCTGATGAAAATCGACGTTCACCCTTCTGCAGGCTGGTCACCATGAGCCTTAGCTCTGATTTAGCTCTGGGTGGAGGAGAAAGCCTGGAGGGGGAACATTTCACACCCACCACATATAACCCCCCTTCTCTGGGCACCACCAGGACCCAGCAGCCTTTTGAGTAGCACAGAGAGGATTTACTGGGCAAGAACCTCATGCCCATCTGAACCACCCTCTCCTTCCTGTGAGATGGGAAAAATAAACTCAAAAGTGACCAGGAAGCCCAAAGTGATCTAAAAAATCCCTAAAGAGACCAAGAGATCTCCACCAACATAAGGAACAGATGGACAGCAGGAAGGATGGAGGGGAACAAAGCCGTGCTACCAGGAGAGGAAGGGATAAAGGCGCTGCTGGGAAGATGTGTGAGCGAGCACAGGAAGATGCTGGGGGTGTGTTTTTTTTGGTGGTGGCAGCCCCCCGACTCCCTCCCTCTCCCCCGGCTTCCCCAAGGTGAAGGCTCGGTGCTGGGTGCCTCCTTTTGCCCGCTCACCACTTCCATGAGTGATCCAGTGCAGGGCAGAGGGGGCTGGATCAATCTGGCAAAGCAGAAAAATGAATGAAAATTGAATTCTCCGAGGAGAAGGGGGTGGAGGGAGCTGTTATCCCGGCTGAGAGATAAATCAGAGCGTGCCAGAGAGCCGGAGACCGCGGTGACTCCCAGCAGCGGTGGAATAATTAGGGAAATAGGTTGGAAATGCAAAGCAGCAGGACAGGGCAGCGATGGGGCAGTGTCCGTCTGTCCGTCTGGCCGCTCGTCCGGCTAAACTTCTCCCGTGAATCTGCCTTAGGGACCTGCCTTTCTGCGCGTTGGGGACCCCTCTGTGGCTGGCTGGGCACTGGGGGGGCACGGGGGTCCCTGCCCCGAGGGGCTGCGGAGCGCAGGTGGCCGGGGGCGGCGGGGCTCTGGCGGCGCTTAATGCACTTAAGAGCTGCAGCGTGATTTAGGGGATGGGACGGGACGGGATGGGAGGGGTTGGGATTCACCTCCCTGGGATGGGAAGCAGATTGTGGCGTTCGGTGAAGTGCAGGGTGGAGCTCACTCCTGGATGAGTGCGCACCGGAGCTGCCATATGAGGAGCACGGGGGTTTGCTGGTAAAAATGGAGCTTTGAGGGGGTCAAACCCCAGCATCTCATAGAAAAACTTAATTTTTTTCCTAAGGAACCATCAGTCTTAATACATTTTTTAGGTTTTATTACTTTTATTTCTAAACATTTTTTTCCCAGTTGCTGGCTTGTCCCATCTGCACATTTCCTGACGGAGTGGGGTTTCAGGATTTTTCAGGTGGGAAAATCCTCTTCCTAGCAGTGTAGAAACGAAGGCTTGGCATGGGAGCACCTGAGCTGAGGGTGGCCATGCTCTTGGCCGGGTGAGCATCTTCCCTCACCTGCCAGAAGCTGCCGTGTGCCACCTCGGGAGCCTCCCCCTGCCCTCTAAGCAGAGCGGGATGGCCCAGCACGTCGGGGCTGTTTGGTACCGCTGTCCCCGAGCTGGTGACACGGTGACCATCGGGAAGGTTGATGCTGGGGGCACCCGCCCTAACTTCAGCTCCATTTCGGTGAGTTTCCTCGCTCGGCCCTCGGCTGCCAGGTACAGCCACATCAGTGGCGGGGGCTGCGTTGTCTCGGGGCTTTCCCTCAGCAGAACCCTACGGGGATCCTCATGGAGGCCGTGGCCACCTTTGCCCTGTGACTTCAGCATTGCCACCTTGTGCCACCACGGCCAGCTGGTGCCAGGCTGGGCACGCTGCTGCACTGCTGACTCGGGCTGGCTCTGCCCGCGCCCAGGTGTGTCCCCGGGGAGGCACCATTGGGATGGGCCCAGGGATGTGTTACAGCGCCCTGTGGAAGCAGAGCGTGTCACGGCGGGGTGACAGCAGCCGGGCCATTGCTGCGGGATGTGCCGGGGAAGCGGCCCTCGGCTAAGGCTCCATTCCCAGCGGCAGGAGGGACAGGGCTGGGGCTGTGCCCGAGGCCAGCGGCTTCCATGGAGCGGGAGAAGGCCCCCGAGCCCCGGGAGCGGAGCGGCCTTGGGCTCGTCCCTCTCTGTCCCCAGCGCCACCGCCGGCCCGGCCCCGCCCCTTCCGCGCAGGCCCCGCCCCCGCCGCGCAGCCCCCGCCCCCCGGCCCAGGCCCCGCCCCCGGCGGCGCGGAGCGGGCGCTGATTGGCCGCGGGGGGCCCGTCCCGCCCCCGCCCCCCTGCGGGCGGTGACGTCAGGCGCGCTCCCCGCAGGGGAATGAATGGGAGGCGGGCGGCACCGGCGGGCACCGGCACCGGGACTCGGCACCGGGACTCGGCACCGGGACTCGGGACACGGCACCGGGACACGGCACCTCCCGCCGCCGGCCTCCGCCGGCCCGGCCCGCGGCTCTCCCGCCCCTCTTCTCTCCCCTCCGCCGCCCCCCGGGCCAATAAAATGATGCAAAGCTCTGCGCTCGCTGCCGAAGGGGCTGTCAAGGGGCTTCCTGAGATCCTCGGTGTGCCGGTGCAACGTAAGGACGCTTTTCTCTTCTCCCTCCTTCGCTCCCTGCCGCAAAGGCGGCCCCGGGCCGGCGGGGCAGCGCCCTGCGGGCGGGCAGGTGCCTCCGCTCCCGTTCGCTCCCGGTTCTGCACTTTGTGTTTCTTTTCCCCAGCGTGTAGCGCCGGTCACGGACGCGAAAATGCGGAGGGTGCGGAAGGGAGAGAGGTGCCCCGGGGCGGGCGGGCAGCGGAGCGATGCGGGCCTGGCCCCGACGGGGAGGACGGCGCGGCTCCGGCTGTGCGTGTGTGAGCGTGAATTCGAGTGTGTGAGTGTGTGAGTGTGTGTGTGTGTGTGTGTGTGTGTGTGTGTGTGTGTGTATGTGTGTGTGTGCGGCCCCGGCCCCCGCCCGCCCCCGCGCACCGCCGACCCGCAGCGCACAACACCGCGCTTATATCGTTTATCGCGACAGGCGGCGAGCGGCGGCGGTGGGAAGGGGCCCAGGGCCGTGCGTGAGCGGTACCGGGATGGAGAGCCCGGCCGGGCACCGTGCCGCCCCCGGAGCGATGCCGCCGCACCCGCGTCTGTCCAAAAATCACCTGCGTGTCTGTGCGGGTGTCTGTGGCCCTGCAGCTACAGGTAGCGTGTCCGTGGGGGGGTGCACGCACGGGTGGATGGAGCCCGCTGGGGATGGTGCACCCGAGCTGTGAGTGAGCCGCAGGGGCTGTCAGCCCCTCACAGGGGCACCCCGTGGGCACTACGGATGCCCCCTTTGGATGGTGGGGACCCGGGGGGTCTCCGCGGGCCGCCACCTGCGCGGGTGTTGCTGCTGTTGTTATTATCGTTGTTATTTTTGTTGTTATTATTATATCTTCCCGTTCGCAAACCGTTCCCGAGACCGGGGCGTCGCCGCGCTGCCGGAATGGGGGGGACCCCACCGGGGCCAAGAGGGCGATGCTCGGCCCCCCCCCAACAGCGGCGCCGAGAAAGTTGAGGGGAGGGACCTCGGGCGGCGGTGGAGGAGGGGCGAGACGGGCCCGGGGTGCGGGACAGCCCGGCCGGGTCCGGCCGCACGTCGGGGCACACGGGGGACACGGGGGTGTCCGCTCCGGGACAGGTTTCCCCCGGCTCCGGCCGCCGCCCCGCGGAGCCCTCGCGCCGTTCCACGCCCCGCGTGGGGCCCTGGCCCCCGGGCGGCTGGAATTCGTTTTTTGGGTTTTTCGGTGGTGCCTCTTCCCGGGGCTCTTTGGGGGATCTGTCGCCGTTTTCCCTCGGTTCGATGCCTTTGCCGAGCTGCGGGAGGGTTGAACAGGAGGGCCCGTTTAACCAATTTCACCGCAGCAGAGGGGAAATAAAATCGCGGTCAGGAGCACAGAGCCGGTGCAGGGACAGGGACCGGGACACGCAGGGTCTGTCCCAGTACCGTATCCCGAGTCACGCCGCCGGTTCCAGGTCGCTGGGTCACTCCTATGGCCTCGGAATCCCTTGATTTAGGAAAAATATGAGGTGTCCAAACCACCGTGGAGCAGCATTGCCCCAGAATAGCTCCCTGATCTGGCCCTCCTCGGGGCCACCAAACTCCCTTGCCCATGACATTGTCGTTCGTGTACTGACTGATGGATATCGAGAATTAGCAGGAAATAATCCAACGAGATATTATTATTATTATTATTATTATTATTATTATTATTATTATTATTATTATTATTATTATTATTATTATTATTGCTATTTGTTTTTCTATTAATGCTGTTAATAATAATAATTATTATTATTATACTTATTTATGCAGAAATAAAATGGCAGAAAGAAAATAGATGAGGCTGGGCTGCTGGAAATCATCCTTCTATGGTTTCCCCGCTGCCCCAGCCTGAGCCCTGCGGCCGCTGCCAGCTCCCAGCCACCTGCTTTCATGTCGTGATAGATCTGGGGCCTGATCCTGCCTCAGTGACACAAAACTCAGCCCCCTTCGAGCCAAAGGAAATTGTCCCTGGGCAGGGAATCCAGGGTCTCCCCCCAGCCCCCAGCAGCACCTCGATATTTCATCGTGTGTGAGAGGAAAAACCGTGGCATTTTAATTTTTAATCACTATTAAATCACATTTTTTCCTCTCCCTTTAGCCGCCAGCCTCGTTATTTTAGCAGCGGCTGCGTCCTACAGCATCTTTTCCTGCAGGATTTTGGGGAGCCGAGAAGCCTCTCCCCCCATCCCCACCCACCCGAAAGGCCTTGCTTAGCCTTGCAGACGGGATCGTTAAAAATAAAATTCCGGATATTATTTATGAATATTGTTTTGCAAATCTCAGCGGAGTCAAAACTTGTGCCAAAGCCTGCGGGAACAGTGCCCGGCTGCCGGCAGGCTCTGGCCAAGGGGCTGGAGCTGGGGCAGTGATTAATCGCCGCCGAGAAAGTCGTTCTCCCGCAGCAGAGAAATGAATTGGAGGGTTTTGCGTGTGAAGGAATGATGTTTCCTCCCCGCAGCGAGACTTTGGGAGGGATCCCCGGAGCGGCGCTTTGCTGGGCTCGGTGCAGGCTCCGCTTTCCCCCCGCGCTCCCGGGCACCGATTCCGCGGCTCCGTCCCGTTCCCGAGGAGGGACCGGGGGTGTCGGTGCCCCCCGGGCCCGGCGGGAAGCGCATCCCCCCGGTGCTGCCCCGCATCTCCCCCCGCTCCTTTCCGAGGGGCTTTTGCGGGCTGAGCGATTACTGAGGCCACCGGCCAGTTTCGTTTCGTTTCGTTCCAATCGATATTTCTTTGAATTTTTCCCGTCGGGGAGAGAGGCGGGGAGAGGGGGGAATGGGAAGATGGACCCGCCGCTAATAAATCACGGTAGCGGCGGGGGCCAGGCCGTCGCTCGGGTCCCCGTGCGTGGGAGGCTCCGCGGGGAGCGGGGGCATTGCGGCTCTGCCCACGGCCAAATCCCGCCTGGGCTGCTGCTCATGGGCGATCCCCTCCCGGGCACATCACCCCGGAGCGAGGGGGACCCCCAAACTTCCCCCCTGCCCCGCAGAGAAGTTGGCACCGAGGTTGGCACCCCGGGCGGAGAGGGGTGACCCCGCGGCTGTGTCCCCCCGAGGACCACCCAAACCACCCTGTGGAATGCTGGTGGGCACACACAGCCTGGCAGCGCCTCGTTCCTGACCTACCGATTGCACCCATTCACTTTATTCCTGTTCTATAAATTAATTCAGGTAAAACGAGCGTGATAAATGCGAGGCAGGGAGGCAGCTGTCTGGGTGCAGGGCTTGAATTTAAGATATTTTCTCCCTGCAAACCAGAGGGACATCTCCTGGTTCCCCTGGCAGCTCCCCCTTTTGTTATTGTTGATATTATTATTTTTATTATTATTATCATCATCCCCGTGTGTGCACACAGGTATCGTAGCACACGCAGGCACCTGTGCGTGCGGTTGGTGCCTTGCATCTACAGCGAAAGCGGACGGAAAATCTGTCTCCTCTTAAAAAAAAAATTAGTTTTCTTTGGAAATTTGAAGGGAGATACCGTATTCTCGGCTGCGCTTGTTTTCTTGTTGAAACGGAGCCGCGTCGCTGCTTTTAGGAAGGGGAAAGCTCTTTGTTGGCTTGTGAGAGTACATGTAAACACACAGGGAGCGAAGCGTCCAGGTGTTCCCAAAACAAGAAGGGCTGGAGGGACCTCTAGAAGCCGTAGATCTGTTAATTTTGAATTTATTGGGCGGTTAATGAGGCAGAGGCTCGGATGGCAGCAGTGGCCGCGGTCCGAGGGGCGCGGGAGTGTCACTGTGCGCCGGGGCAGGGATGGAATCAGCCGCCTTCACCTGAGGTACGTGGCGGGACCCCAAAGGATCCTGAAATAATGTTGTTTGAGGCTGTAACAATATGAGGTTTTCCTCCTTCCCCCTCCTATTTCTTTCCTCCTTTACCCGTTCGTTCCTCTTTCCCCCGCCCTTCTTTTCTCTTCCCCGTCTTTTTCTTAATTTATTTCCTCTTTTTTCCCCTTTCTCTCCTCTTTTACTTCCTTTCTCCTTTCTCTTCCTGTACCCACTTTTCCTTTTTTTCTTTTCCTCCCTTGTACCATTCCTTTCCTCTCTTCTCTCACGTTTTTTTGTTTCTCCTCCTTTTGCTTTTCCTTTTTTTTTTGTTTCTGCTTTATTTTCTCATTTTTTCCTGTTTTGTTTTCTAATCTTTCCTTCTTTTTCCTTTTTAAAAAAACATTTTTTCCTTCTTATGAATTTTTTCCTTCTTAAATATTTTTCCCTTTAAAAAATCTTTTATTTTTTCTATCTTCCTCGCTTTTCATGTGTTTTAATTATTTTTCCTTTTTAAAAACCTATTTCATTCGATATATTTTTCCTTTTTAAAAACGGTTTTCCTTTTCCATAATTTCCCTTTTTATTAATATTTTCCTCTTTTTTTTTGTATTTTTAAATATATTTTTTCCTTTTAAAAATTTTTCTTCCTTTTTAAAAATTTCCCTTTTTTCCCCCTTGGTGTTTTGTTTGTTTGTTTGTTTGAATATTTTTTCTTTTAAAGCCTTTTTCCTTTTTATTTTTTTTTCCCCAAATCCATCTACCTCCATATATATGTGAGTCAGTGGGGGTCAACAAACGGTGTCGCTGCTTGGTGGTTGTGCCATTCCAGAGGGAAGGAGAGGCAGGCAGGGAAATGGGGTGCGGGAAGGGAAAACACCGCGTTTGTGTTTGTCCCAGTGCATCCCCGGTTTTTCCCGAGCTTTGCACAGGGAGATGTGCCGGGAATTGAGGGGTGACATCTCCAAAACCCGCAGCGCGTGGCCGGGCAGGGTTTTGGGAGGCACGAGTGGGTTGCGGTGGCTGATTGTGTTCTTCTCTCCATCCTCTCCCCTTGGAGCAGAGATCCCCCAGTGCGCCGGCTGCAACCAGCACATCCTGGACAAGTTCATCCTCAAGGTCCTGGACCGGCACTGGCACAGCTCCTGCCTCAAGTGCGCCGACTGCCAGATGCAGCTGGCCGAGCGCTGCTTCTCCCGGGCCGGCAGCGTCTACTGCAAGGAGGATTTCTTCAAGTGAGTATCCCCCAAAAAATCAGCACCTCCCTCCCTTCCCGCGGAGCAAGCACGCAGCCGAATTCCGAGCGGAATTTCTCCAGAATCTTCCTACGGCTTCTTGTTGTTGTTGTGGAAATTAAGGGGATGTCGGTGCTTTGTGGATGCTGCTTGTTGGGATGTAACCATGGGAAAGCCGCAGATCTCCCCGGTGCTGGTGTCCCTCCCCGGTGCTCCTGTCCCTCCCCGTGCCGGTGTCCAGGTCCCCGGGGTGACATCCTGCTCGGAGCTAGAGGGCAGGAGAAACCCGCGCAAGGCACCGACAGCGCTGCCTCTTCCTCCCGAGTGCCTCCCTCGCCTCCTCGGGATTTGCTGATGCTGTTTCTCTCCCTTCACCTTTTACCTCTTTCTTTCTTTCTTTTTTTTTTTTTTTTTAATTTTTTAATTTTTTTTTTTGCTCCCATTAGTGTGAAAACCTCATTTGATTGCCTTGGCAGCTGCCTCTGAGCTGTGCGATGCCCCAGCCGTGGCATTTCCCTGCTCCCACGAGACAGGACAACCCGTTCCCCATTAAAAACGGACTTTGCCTTTAGGATGCTTTGATCCCCGACTGCCGGTGAAATGTGGGAGTTTTCCCAAGGGATAGAGAAGGTTTTTTACTGGGACTGAACCGCCATGAAGCGGAGGGGGTGGATCCTTGCCGAGGGATGCCTTTCACTGCTTGGATGCAGCAGCTGCTGCCCCTCGGGGACTAAAGCCACCCCTCCTCGTGCCATCATCTCCCACTCCGGACCAGCCACACGGGCTGTCCCCACCACCCCTCACCACAATTCTAAAGCCACTACCATTAGTCCCTAGACAGGACTTCCCTGCCTTCCCATCCCCAGGCTCTCCTAGATCCTCATCAGGCAGCAGGACCAAAGATGCAGCTCGGATTTCTCCTTCCCGGAGACGGTCAAAGCGGCCACTCCAGCCTGGGTAATAACACTTCACTTCTGATATTTTCCAGCCTATTAATCTCCGAGTCATTTAAATAGTCGCCCAAAAGGTGCGGGTAATCAATGTTAATTGGAGTTGAAAGATCAGCGACTTTCTCAGATGAGGTCCTGCCTGGATTATTTGGTGCCAATCAATAGCAGCTCGGCGCTCGCACCTCACCTTTCCTTAACCGCTCATTGATCCCGGGGTAGGGAACCTGCAGGGGACGTGAGGATTTCAGCCCAACTTCAGAGGCACTTGGCAATGCAGGAGCTGCTTTGGAAAGGATCAGATCGATTTTTGATTTTTTTTGTCTTTTTTTTTTCCTTCCCCCGGGTTGCAGCTCTCGGTCCTAGGCTCTGTCCTGGGTCCTGCGTCCCCAGATGATGTGGAAGCACCCCGGGGTGTCGGGACAGTTGTTAAAATGGCTTTTACAGAGATCTGCGAGAGGGGGTGAATGGGCAGTGGATGGGGGCTGCAGAGTGGGCACCAGCTCAGCCTTGAGAGCAGAAAAGCATCCTCTGTTTATCCTATCCCTCTCTCCTGCTTGCCTTCCTCCTTCCCTCCATTCCCACCCTCCTTTCTCTTCCCCTCCATTCCCACCCTCCCTGCATCCCTCCCTTTATCCTCCATTCTAGTATTCCCTCATCCCTCCCTTCCTCTTGTCCATCTCCTCTTCACCCCTCTCCCACCTTCCCTCCCACCTGACTCCAGGAAAGCTGAGCTCTCCCCAGCAGATGTCCAGGGCCTCTCCCTTTAGGATAAAAGTCCAGAAAATGAGACAAACCAGGTTTTTCCTTCTCTCCTTCTGCTCCCAACACCCCAAATCGTGCTGGTGCCACTCATGCCTACTATCTGCCACCCGTCCCTGGGTGACAGCTGCGTGGCTCAGGGACAGTCTCAGACCCAGCTGTGGTGGCTGTGCCCTGGATTTCCGGAGGGGATGAGCAGCCATGGGGCTCGAGGGTGACTTTGCACGACTGCGGGATGTTCAGGCCCCAGGGGACAGCCAGAGGTGCCCGGAGTGGCCGCACACCCTGGGCACTCAAATGTCACTGCCTGTCCCCGCAGCCTCGGGGCTGGGGCCAAAGGGATTGAGTGTTCCTGTGCTGCCTTCTTCAAAGCTGACAGGGCAGATTTATTCTGACAGCTTTGTCACCTGGGCTGCCGCACCAGGATGGCTCTAGGGTGCTCTGGGGTGTTTAGGGCTGCTCTGGGGAGTGGGAGAGACCTCGCAGAGCCCTGTGCTGCCAGTGGGAGGTGGGGGTCTGCCCCAGATCAGTCCCATAACATCTCTTGCCAAAAACAGTGGTGGAACATTCACTTACTTTTGGCTTCCTCCTCATAGCACCTGTCATGCTTAATTCAGTGAATTCTCCTCTTGCACACTTTTTGCACCATTCTTGCATAGTCCTTTCGCATTTACTGCATGAATCTTCCACTCTCCTGCAGCGTTCTTGTACCATCCTTGCACATTTCTTTCACGCTGCTCCCACACTCCTTGCACCGTGCTCCTTCTGAACTTCCTTTTTCCCATTTTCACCCCCACCTCGCATGCTGCTGCCAAGCTTCTCCCGTGTCCCTTGCACACTCCTGCAGCCGTGCTGGCAGCTTTGCTCGTGCCCCACACCAGCCCACCCCACGTCCCTGTCAGGCCATCGTTATGGTGTAAGAGCCCCATCATTCTGCATTAATCTGGGATTCATCATGCCAGCGGGGCGGCGTAATTAATTTATTTGGTATTAATGTGGATGAAATATGTACTGTCCTTGCAGGGGAAAAATCAGGCAGCCTATAAGCATTAGTTAAAAGAATCATTAAAATCAAACCTTCCTCGGCTCCATTAGGCCGGTCTCTCACTCTGAGGAAGATAAACCCCCGCCGTGTGAAGTGTCATGCATAATAAGGTTGATTGCTGGTTTAAACTCTGCCCTGTCTCCTGCCCCCCATCCCGGCACACCCCACCTCGCCGGGGGGCTCAGGGTCGCCCTCTTCTCCTCGCAGGCGTTTCGGGACCAAATGCACGGCGTGCCAGCAGGGCATCCCCCCGACCCAGGTGGTCCGCAAAGCTCAGGACTTCGTGTACCACCTGCACTGCTTCGCCTGCATCATCTGCAGCCGGCAGCTGGCCACGGGCGACGAGTTCTACCTGATGGAGGACGGGCGGCTGGTCTGCAAGGAGGACTACGAGACTGCCAAGCAGAACGGTAGGCACCCCGAAAAGGCTGCGAGGGGCACGGCAGGCACGGGTGGGGGGGGGATCGTGGCTCTGTGCCCGCTGGGGCAGCCGTTTTTGGGGAGATGCTCCCCAGCGGGCTGCGCTGGTGCTCGGGGCTGCTACCGACTCCTTCGCTTGCAGATGACTCCGAGGCGGGCGCGAAGCGGCCCCGGACCACGATCACGGCCAAGCAGCTGGAAACGCTGAAGAACGCCTACAAAAACTCCCCCAAGCCCGCCCGCCACGTGCGGGAGCAGCTCTCCTCCGAGACGGGGCTTGACATGAGGGTCGTGCAGGTGAGGCCGCGGGTGCCCCTCTCCACCCTGACCCTCTGGGAGGCTGGGTTTTAGGGGATGCGGAGGTCACAGCGGTACTGGGGTGATGGGAGCGCCTGGAAACTGGGCTGCAGGGCTGCGGGATTGCATGGGGGTGCGGGAGCTGGGGGTAGGAGTGATGGCATGCAGGTTTACAGGGTTTAGGGATGCTGGGTTGCATGTGGGTGGAGGTGCTGCCACGCCAGGGTGCTGGGATGGATGTAGGAGTGCTGGGGGATGTGAGGGGTGCCAGGATGCTGGAGCACTGGGTGTCAGAGGCGCTGGATCACAGGGGTGCTGCCATGCAGGACTGCCAGGGTGGCGGGGGTGCCCCGGTGCCACCGAGATGTCCCCATTGCCCGCTGCAGGTGTGGTTCCAGAACCGGCGGGCCAAGGAGAAGCGGCTGAAGAAGGACGCGGGGCGGCATCGCTGGGGGCAGTTCTACAAGAGCGTGAAGCGGAGCCGCGGGGGAGGGAAGCTGGAGAAGGAGAGCTCGGCCGAGGAGTGCGGCGTCAGCGACAGCGAGCTCAGCTTCCGCGGTGAGCGCCGCGCCCGAGCGGGGCCGGGGGGCCGCGGGGCTGCCCCCGGCACTGACCCCCCGGCCCCGCTCTCCCTCCTGTCCCCGGCAGAAGAGCAGATCCTCTCCGAGCTCGGCCACAACAACAACAACAGGGTTTACGGCTCCGTGGGGGACGTGGCGGGCGGACAGTTGCTGAACGGCGGCTTCTCGGTGGAGGGCACGGGCCAGACGTACCAGGACTTGCGGGACGGCAGTCCATACGGCCTCCCGCAGTCGCCGTCCTCCATCTCGTCCCTGCCGGCCCACCCGCCCTTGCTCAACGGGCTGGACTACGCCATGGACGGCAGCCTGGGGCTGGTGGCCCACGGGGCGCAGGGGGTGAGTCCGGCGCTGCGGGCCATGGCCGGGGGGGGCCCCACCTCCGACATCTCCACGGGCAGCAGCGTGGGGTACCCAGACTTTCCCACCAGCCCGGCCTCCTGGCTGGACGACATGGATCACCCCCCTTTCTAAGCGCTGCTCGCCCCCCGCGCTCCCCCCGGCCCGCAGCGCAGCGGCGGCTGAGCCTTCCCGGAGATCCCACGGGAATGGGCCCCGGAGGGCTGCAGGGAGGGGGGACAGCGCCGGGGTGGCCGTGCCCGGGCGGGGGCACGGATGCCTTTGGCTGTAAGCACAAGAGCGGCGGCGCACGGTGAGGACCCACCCGGCGTGGCGGGGCCGGCGGGAGGGAAGGAAGAACAATCAGGGGTGGCAGAGCCCGTCCCGGCACCCCCGCCACCACCCCCTGCCCAGCACCGCTGCTATTCTCAAGAGTTATTTTTCCATATGGTGTTAAAACGCAGCTGGGCGCTGCCCGGAGCCTCCGCAGAAAGAGAAGTCTATATTGTAGAAGGGTTTATTTTGCCGGGGACACGTCCGGGCAGGGCCATTGCCCCGCTGCCCAGGGGCCATCCTGCCTGCTCCTGGCCGTGATTTATCCCTGGGCACGCAGGAGCGTCGCTGCTTTGTACCACGGGCACGCCAGGGGAAGGAATTGTAAAAAATTGTCTCCAGCCCGGGATGCCCACCGGCCAAGCTGTGCCACGGCAGGGCCAGCCGGGGTGCCTGGGGCTGGCACCTGCAGAGCAGCCACTGGACGGGTGCGTGAGAGAGGTGGGCAACGTTTGCCCTGAGGGCATTGCAAAATAATTCCTCCCACATAGGGGAGCAGGAATTTCGTCAGCTGCAAAAGCACCTGCGCGGTGGGAAGGGGAGGGGATTGGGGTGTGAGGTGCTCCTGGTATGGGTTAGCCTCCCTCCAGCCGCGGGTCTGATGGTACCAAAGGGTGAGTGCAGGCAGCCAGGAAGGATCCCGGCGGCTTTGGCACGTCCCACAAGCCCCACGGGGTCTGCTCCTGGCCAGGCTCACTCAGCACTAGCCCCTGCTCAAAACCCACATGCCCATCTCCTCCAGCACAGCCACAGCCCTACCCTCAGACCTTCAGCCCCATGGATAAGATCCAGCTCCACACTCTCTGCCCAGGGTGCCCAGCTCTGCCCCAGCCCCACAGGGATGCCCTGGCCATGGGGTCCCTGCCATCCTCTCTGTCTCTGGGGTGATGCTGATACTCCCAGGCTGCCCTTCAAGGGAGGGCTGGGAGTGGATCCACTTGGTCAGCTCCTTCTGGAGGTGTGGAGGCTCCAGAAGCAGAGGGAAAAAAAAAAAAGAATTAAAAAAAAGAAAAAAAAAAAAAGCCACATGAGAAAGCACATCACTGGTCTGTCCTTGTCCTTCCTTGCCCCCCCAGCTGGGTGCCTTGGTGCTGCAGGAGCTGCCCCAGCTGCATCCACGTGCCTCCCCCTCCCCAGCCTCGGGTGCTGCTTGGTGCCAAGCTCCTGGCCTTGCTGGCCCTGGTGGAGAGGGGGACAGGGCAGAGCTGTGCCTGCTGCTCCCCATCCCCCTTTGACAAGGCCAAATGCCTCCTCCCCTCGCTGTGTAAATTTTGTACAGTTCCAGAAAGTAAGAGTCTTGTTTCCTGGGGGAATAAAAAGGAAAAAAAATAAAACCCAAGAAAAAGAATAATAATAAAAAATTTTAAAGAATAAAACCTTATTTATTGCCATGTCTTGGGGAGAAATGACCTCCCCAAATTGCCCCCGGATTCGAGCCCAGGGCGTTGCTTTTGTACCCTGCCTCTAGTGTGTTGGCATGAGATGTGTACAGTCACCCCCTCGCCGTGAGGGAAAGCGATGGCAAATAAACTCGGGATGCTTTTTAGCAGCTGCTGTCTTTGGGATTTTCTTCCTTTGGGAGGGCAGTACCCACCACTGGCACTGCCTGCTCTGGCACCGTTGGCTGTTTGGGGTCAGGGTTGCCGGGGTCGTGTCTGGATGGTGGCACTGACATCCCTGGGTGATGGAACAAGTGGCACTGGTCATCGTGCCCTGGCTTTTTGCTGGCACAGAGAGGGTTTGGGTGGGAATCTCCATGGCTGCCCAAGGTGGCACAGCTTTCCTGCCACCACGCAGCAGTGACAGGGGGTGCCTGGCCGTGCCACCACAGTGCTTGGTGGGCACAGGTGAGATGGAAGGGCCATGCCAGGCAGGAGGGGCAGAGGGGTACACGCCCCTCTGTGGGCACCGGTGTGTTGGCTTTCTATATTTTAATCATTTTAACATTTAATGCTTCTCAATTAAAGTGATTTCCTGGAGTAGATGCCAAGCTTAGGGTGAATGCACATTAACCACTTTCTGTATCGGTAGTTAAAGGCACCAAGGGATTTAACAGCAATCTGCAAGGCTGCTGGGGAAAGGTTTGGCTGAATAAAGCAGATTATAAACAATAATATATGTCTTTCTCTCCTCCCCCTCCCCCCCACCCCTGCTTTCTTTTTTTTTGGAAAGGCTCCAACCTCACAAACAGACCTAAAGTGCTATAAACATCTCCAGGGCTGAGCGCTCGGGCCCCAAATGTGCTCTCTGAAAGCACCGGCACCTTTTCATCCCGGCTTTAACAGAGATTTTTTTATTACCCAGCGTGTCCATCAAGCCAGGGAGTGGCTGTGCATTACTGCCCTGCACAGGGGTGGCCTTGCTTGTCCCCAACCTTGGTGCCACCTCCCTCACAAAGTCAGTGTGACCCCAGTATTGGGGTTGGCGTCCTTGCTCCATCTGCATCCGGGTGCAAAAGCGCCAGGCTGCCATGAGCCCGGCCACTGCCACCCTGCAGCTGCCCTGGGCAGGGGCAAGGGGAGCAGAAGCCATGGGGGGGGTCTTGTTTAATATGAAGTTATTGGAAAATGACCTGCCCAGGCCGTTTTGCCCCCAGCATGGAGCCTGGCCTGTGCTGGATGTGGTGTGGTGATTTTGCAGGCGTCAGCAAATGCTGGCAGAGCCACAGACACTGCCAGGGGCCAAGCCCACGTGTTCCTGCTGCCCAGCCACTCCTCAGCCAAGGGAGTGTTCCCATTTATTTTCCTGAGGCTGGATGTGCTGCAGAGCCTGATGGGGCAAGCAGCTCCCTGTCACAGCCATGGAGATTTCCTCTGCTCCCCCCAGACCGTCAATCTTGTCTGGGAAAAGCAAACTCATGGCAATATCCCACAGGGAAGCCACGGGCTCCTCTTGCCCAGTTTCAGGCCAACACACCCACCCAGTGCAGCAGCCTCCTCCCAGCTGGGAGCTATCCCACAGCACAAACCCACCCCTGGCAGCTCCGTGGACCCACTTGGGATGCTAATGGGGATGCTAATGAGGCAGCATTAAACCCCATCATCATCCCACATCACTCCAGCACTCAGGTATGGCCACGAGGCAGTTTTTCCCCCTTTCCCCCAGCTCAGATGATCATGAAGTGTCTGAGACAGACCCAGAAGGGTGACAGGGTGGGTACAGGTTTATCTGTGCTCGGCTCTTACCAGACCTCAGCCCTGGAGGAGCTATTCCAGGGATGGACACGCAGCAGGAGGCCCTGGAGCCACTGGCTGAGGTGGTGTTTAAAGCCATCCAATTCAGCAAAGCAGTAAAAGTCTTGTCAGCTTGGAGAGGCTGATTAGCAACACGTGTTGTGTGAGAACCAGAGGGACAGACAGACACCTGTATGACCCTGCTGTCTTTGCAGCTCTCCCTCCCCAGGACAAGAGCTCCAGCAGAACTTCCCAAGGGTTATGGCTGCACTGAGCTGCCTCCCATTCTTATGGCTTCCAAGTCACCCTCTGTAAAAAAAAACCCCAGAACTAAACAAACACACCGAGGCTTGATCCCAACACTGTGCTTTTATTTCTATTATTTGTTTGGACCCAGGGAAAAAAAAAAAAAAAAAGAACCAAACCAAAATTCAGCCTGAACGGGAGAGATGAGCACCTCACCTGGCCCTGCATCCCCACGGAGGAGCCGACAGGTCAGCCCAACTGTTCTGGTGAGACAGCCCATACAGTACTCGTGTTTGATCCATTAAAATAATACTTGGAGCCTCCTCCAGGCCCTCTCCCTCCCCCCTCAAACACTGATGAACGTCAGAGCACACTGAGCTCTGACACAGTCCTGCTCAGGGCATGGGGGAAGGCATGGAGAGCCCAGCCAGACCCTGTGCTTTGAAAGGTCCCCTCGAACCCCCGAGGTGTTTGGGGAGGGCAGCGGGGAGGGGGAAGGGGTGTTATTGCAGAGCATCCCCGTGCCCCCGGGGGTCAGGGCTCGGGGGGACCGTGCTGCTGCAGAGCCGAAGTGATGGCTTTGGAGTCCGTCACCTCCTCGGGCAGGCAGCCCTCCTGGTCCCGCAGCCCGGGGTCGGCTCCCGACTGCAGCAGCAGCTCCACGATGTCCAAGAACTCGCAGGTGGCAGCTGGGGGGAGAAAGGGAAGGGTTAGTGTGGGGATGCTGGCCTGAGGTGGCGGTGAGGGGCGTTCCTGGAGCGGTGGCTGTGGCTGGCGATGGCCCCGTGTGTGGCGGCACAGCCGAGCAGGGCCGGGGCAGCGCTCAGGACACGATGGATCGCTGTGCATCTGCCAGTGCAGAGGAAGGAGAAGGACAGAGTGACACCAATGCAAAGCCAGAAGTCCTGAGGGGGTGCCACTGGTGCAAGCAGCGCCCAGAGCCCGCAGTCCAGGCAGAGGTGCTGGGAGCTGAGGGATCTGCAGGGACACAGAGGGAGCCTGGGCACAGCTTGGCTAAGGCTCATTCACATCCAGGACTGGAGACTGACCGTGGGAAGGGCCCCAGAGTGCTACTGCAGCACTGCAGGGACCCCCAAAGTGCCACCTGGGAAAGCATTCCCTGCCTGCTTTTGTACCCAGAATTTATAATGCATTCACCATCTGTAATGGATCTCTAAGCCCTTGCCCCTCACCTGCCTCCTGAATCTCCCAGGGAGCAGGCAGCACATCCCAGACACGACATCTTCAGCACTGCCTCGCTCCTGGCTTTTGTCCATCCCTTCTCTTTGCACAAAATTCAGATGGGTTATAGCTGCTGGCCACCACTTCCCGGAGCACCAGCTCCAGGTGACTGTGCCCATGGCTGGGACAGCTCTTAATGGCACACATTTTATTCCTCACACCTCTACTAGCAACTGTTTTTTCATCCCTCATTTTCTCTGCCAATATAGAGCCAAGTCTGACCTGAGCTCCTCTCTGTCCTAGGATGTCTTACCTAAGGATGCTGAAAGAAAAGAACCAGGAAAATCAGGAAAAATCTTAACACTGAACAGCTGGACTTGGCTGACATCGGCACAAGTCCCAGACTCTGGATTTTCCCTTCAGCCTGTGCAACTCAGAGCCTAGTGAAGCCAAAACCTGCCTTACAAGGCCATGAAGCTGGCAGCTTCCTCTTGCATTGGTTGCAATTGGTTTTAATAATATTTTGGGTGTTTTTATAAAGCAACCGACTGACTCCTTTAGTAATTAGAGTGTCTTGCATTACTCTGCAGTCTTCCACTGATCCAAAAGGACAAGCAGCAATGTCTCATTAAAATAAATTCAATGTGTGATTGGAGTTTATATTGAAAGGATAAAAAAGGGGTCAAAAAGGTTAGTGTGGAAGCAGGTAGAGGTGTGGGTGAGGCTGAGCTGAAAAGGGCACATCCTGCTGCTGAAAATAGACCTCCAGAGATGCCAAGGAAGGTCCGGTGGCAGCTTGTGGGGATGGGGAGCTGGTCCCCACAGGGAAAGGTGGCTTTCTTCTCTGGTGCCATGTCCTTGAGCAGGCTGGGGACATCCCCGGGGACGAGCACAGCTGCTGGATTTATCACGCCCTGGGACCCTCGATTTGTCAAGGGCGAGAGCGGCAGCCCTGACACTGGCACGGGTGAAGATGAATTTCCATTCAGCGCAGTTCGCCTCCCGACTCCATTAATCCTCAGGGTTCAGATGATGAATTTTTTTTTATTATTTATTTTCCCTCCAGCGTCCCCTCCCACTGCCCTGCCGCGGCGCAGACAGAGGGAACAGATGGTGCTTTGCAGGGAAGCCGGAGTGCCCAGGAGGATAGGAGGCTGCCCACTCCAGAGCCACGTGGGCAGCAGCGCTCGGCGAAGCCTTGATTTCCTCTGGGAGAGGCAGCAGCATGATTGCAGTATTCCCCATCAGCGAGGGGATGGCTGGCTGGATGGAGAGGAGCCGAGGAGAAGGGGATGCTCAGCAGGGGATGCACACAGCCGTGGGCTCTGGCCCAGAGCAGGGCTCCAGCCGCGGGTCCCCCGGGGCCGCTGGGCTCCGCTTAAGGCTCCGCTTAAGCCCCGATTAAAGGCGGGGTCAGCGGCGATCGGAAGGAGCCGGGATTTATAACCCCCAGCAGGATGCGGTTTGACACCGGCTGTAATCAGGAGAGCTGTCACCGCAAGGACAGCTGTCAGGCCACGCCGGCTCATAAAAAGGGATGCAGACACCCTAAAAGCAGAGGCTGCCTTGCTGATGGGATTTAACCCTTCCCTGAACTCCATGAACAGCCTCCAGCAAAAGGGAGGGCCTTGTGAAGGCACTGCTCTGCTCAGAGGTGGTGTCCAAAGGAGCTCTCCTGCCTCCCCACTGCAATTAATGACTCGGCTCTGAAGTGCTGGCTGAAATGGGACTGGGAGGTGACAGGGAGTTCCAGTCTCAGGCCAACAGCCACCTGAATCAATCCCAGTCACCCATTTAAAAAGCTGTTTCCAACCTTGAGGTGGTTTATGGTCAGATCAGCAAGAAAGGGAATGAGGATGCCCTGGGGGCAGTGATGGCCACAGAACAGCTGGGCACCCACGGGAACACCAGGCCTGTGTGTCAGCGACCCAGAGAGGCTTCCCAAAGACGATATACAGGGAGGAGAGAGGGGATAATACTCAAGAGGAAGACAAAATTTCAACACTTCACAAACATTTGGGAAGAAAATCCTGGGAAACTGTAGTCATTGAAACACCTGAGCTGGAAGGGTAGATCAGAGAAACCGTTTCTGAAATAATGTTCATTATAACAGTTATGTTTGCTTGTGTTGAACAACCTGTCTCGGTCCCAGCCAGAGGGATCCATCTGCATGGAATTTAAACTCGGGTGATACATCCACCTTTTCCTTTCACATACTGAACTTGCTTGAAGCGAGTGCTCTTGGATAACTTAACATGTGCGCTACGCTTTTGGACAACCTATTATAATCTACTGTGAGCCCCTCAGGAGTTGAAAAGCATCTTCCCAGAAGAGAGAATGCCCAAACTGAGGGATGGCTTAGGAAGAGAGAGAGGCAATGTGGCATTTTAAATGCTGTCCATCTGTGGACAATGCTGCACTCAGCAACAGATTCACCATTCCAGGGACAGTGACAGGAATTTGACAAATTGAGTGTCCTCCAGAAAAGATCCCACAGGGAGAAATCACATATTTTTGTAACTACAGTCTTGGTTCAGGGGCCCTGGAATCTGGGAGTTTAGCTCCAGATCCAAATTCTGTGCCTTGGACTGATGTCTGCAAAGTAATTTTGCTATTCTGCTAATGTCCTTGTGGAGAGATCAAGAAGAGAGAGAAAGACACAAACACTTCAGAATGACAAGTATGCTCTTAATTACAGTGACAGGCATCAAGAGAGAGTACAATATAATAACTGGCTATGTCTTAATTTTGGGAAAAAGATTATGATCCAGATTCAATTGATACTTTTTTCCTATTCCCTGCACATCAACACTGCACACATCACTTCAGTCTCTGCTTTTCTCATTTGGAGATAGAACAATCTTTCAATTAAATCACGTATCTAATTAGCCTGTAATTGTAGGAGGGACACCAACTGTGACATGCCTCTGCTGCTTTTGGTAGTAGAGAAGCTGCTGCTCTCTCAGCTGTGATCAAACAGGTTTCTCACCAGGACACATGAAGGAGGAGGCCACCTTGTCTGTCCCTTTCCCTTGACCTGTGTAACCTGTTAAAACTGGCACAGATCCTCACTGAAGACCAAGAGATTTGGCATCCCCTAACCAGAGCCACTCCTGGGTCTGCAGGTGGCACACCAACATCCTGGAGACACAGAGGTGTACAGGGAAAATCTGCATCATTAATCGAGGGAAAAGGAGTGCTTTAAGGTGACACTTGTAGAGGAGAATGAAGGGAGGGCAGCAATCTTTTCCCAAGGCTCCCAACCCTACCATGCTGGGATTTGCTAATGGAGGTGGCCACTGGTTAATCAAATCCAGCTTCCTTGCTCATTTTTCTCCTGGAATTTGTTTTCTGTGTATAGAGAATTTACTCCAGCTACAAATCCACACTGCTAAGAAGGAACAGTCAAGCACAGAGGCAGCTTACCATAATGGAGTGCAGTCTGGCCTTCCCCATCCTGAAAAAGAGAAAGAGACTTGATTTTAGAGGCGCAGGTAATATTGTGGTAATACAAACACATCCCAGTTTTAAATAAAAAGGCAGAATCCCAGCAATGTTTTAATTGACCAGACAAACAGCCAGGACACCCAGCTACCTGACAGCTGGGATTTGAATCACCATCCACCATCACTCCCTATTGATGGATAATCAATATCTATCCACCCGTAAGAGTGCGTGGATCACATCATGACGTGAGTATAATTCAGTTCATACTGTTATCACTTCCAGCCCATAAAAATGAAGGATTTCAGTCCTATGGCCTCATTCTGGGATTCTTACTACTTCTGATGCTTTAGTACAAGATGCTTCAGTGCAAACCCAGCTTTGGCCAACTACCTGAGAGAAGGGTAAAGCACTGGGATGCTCACACAGCTTAGTGCAGTGAGCTCTTCAGCACATGGGAGCACAGAGGGGAAAAAACCCCAGCTCCTTCCACCTGAATAAATCTTAGCTCCCTGCCTTCAGAATTAAGGTCTACCCCAATACCCAGGTTAAGTTCTGCCAAGCCAGGAAATGGCAGAGTGCTCAGGGATGAAAGCAAGTTGCCAAACTCATCCTTGTGAAACACCTGCAGCACAAGGGCAAAGCAAAGTGTGTGATTTGTAGGTGTTGGCACACAGCTCCCTGTTCCAGCCAACGCTTAAGCCACTGCATCAGCTGCAATGCTTTGGGAAGGGTGTCCCCTTCCCAGACTCCTGTGTCCCCTCCCCAGGCTTTGTCACAGTTGATGCTTCACATCCAGCATTGCAAACCCAGGCACCTCACCCTCACACAGCCTCATTGCGCCACCAGAACAGGCAAAATAACAGAAAGAAAGAATTACTGGCCCCTTTGCTTTCACTACCCCAACCAGGATTAGCCTCTAATTCAGTTCTTTGCCTCCTTAATTTATTTGCATCTGTCCATGGAGACTTAAGTTTTTAATTACCATCATCTTTGGGATTAAGGTGCAAATTCTGTAGTTTGCTGTAGATTCTGGAGCAGGTGAAAGAGAAAAGAACAGGACAACAGGTAGAAATTCCACTCATAGCTGGAAGTCTTCTGGTTTCCCAGTGTGTTATTCTGTTTGATATTAAGCCTGTTGAGCTGAGGAATTAGGAAGGACCTGTGTTTTGGGATGGGAGGTGCCATGCTTTGTACCAACATGACAACCATGGCAGCAACAGGGATAAAAAGCCAGATCCAACAGGCATTTGCTGCCTAAATACCTATTCCATGTCTTTTCCAAGCAAAGGGGTGCAAGGATCAGATTTTTCCTTCCATGTGCCACTATGTCCCCTTCATGTTACTCAGAGCAGTGTTTGAAGAAGCCTCATTTCAGGAGCCTATTTCTGCCCAGACTGTGGGAAGCATAAAGCAAATGGGTGTCATTAGATGGTACCACAAACCAAAGAACTGAGGGAATCACAGCCAGCATCCATTGATTATTCCACACTAAGGTAACCAGTGTAAGCCAGTGCCCCTGAGCTCCCCTTAAGCACATGGCTGCTCAGAGGAGTGACAAGGCCAGCACTGACTTCAGCAAAATATGGAGCAGAGCTGGGGAAGGAGAGGCGGGAACGCTCAAATGAGTTATTGGAAAGGCAGGATGTCAAATGTGTGGCCTGGGGGATGGGAATCCAGCTCCTCTCTGCATCACCACCTCCAAGAAAACCCACAGGTGAATGGGACTGGAGCCATGCAGCAGAAACCCCTTCCCACGGGAGCTCTTTGCTGCAGAACTCCCTATTAAAACTGACAGGACTGCTCCAGGAATCCTACAGACATTTGTTCCTCTTCCAAAGGCCTGCAGAAAGCACTGCTGTTTCAGCAGCTGGCTGGGGATAACAAGGTTTTTTATTTCTCTTAGATGTACTTCCTGGCATCTGCTGGGCTAAGGAGGGAGCGCAGGTCTCGGCATAGGAAATGCATCCCTTTAATCCCAGTGTGGTTTTTAAAAAGAACTATTAATCCAATGTTATGCAAACATGGTTTGCACTTTATTTACGCTGCGGATTTTCCCCCTGCTTTGAGCCTGCCCAATGGCCAAATGCTATTTGTTACACTTCTCAGATGCCGTGCTGTTTGTTTCTATTTCCTCTGTGACAAATTTTAATCCAGGTAAATGGAAAAAGCTCTAGTGTGGTCACTCACTAAAGGCCTTGAAAGCCCTCAGGAAGCTGCTGATCTCAATCCCTCTTTGATTTGGCTTTTTGGAGCACCGTGGCTAATTGCAGCCTGATGTACCCGGCTGCTCCAGGTACGGCAGCGCTGAGCCTTCAGAGCAAAGTGGTCACACCTGGAGACTAATCAAAGATGGGCTGTGAAAGTCAGGATTACAGCTCCCTTTGTGGGAATTATGTGAAACAAATGTTGCCTGCCAGGCACTGAAGTGTCTGTTTTGCAATCAAGCACCATGTGCAGAAGATGAGTGAAGATGAATCGTAGCTGGCCTCGATGCAAGGGGTATTTCCTGATGTGCAATAGAAAGCAGAGGTCTCTTCAGCATCTTAATGCCCTTCTCCTGAGATGTGCCTGTGTTAGGATGGATGATCCCAAACAAGGAATGGGCAGGTACAAGCCTCTGTCCTCACCCCATTGGCATCAGCCAGGAACAGGGCATCTGGAGCCCATCCTCTGCAGCTGGGAGATGCCGGCAGTGATCAGATGGATCCTCTCAGCAGATGGACCAAAGAGAAGGTGCTGAGAAGGAAGCTGATGTTGAGTGGGGAAGAGGAGATAGGCAGCTCTAGGCCAACACTGAGCCAGGATGCCTCTGAGAAGTGCCCCTTCATGCCCCTGTATCAGCTGGAAAAACGTCACTGTCATAGGTTAAAAAGGAGGAAACCTGCTCTGATTCTGTGAACTTCAGCACAAAAAAGGGGAAAAAGCCAGGCTCAAAGCTGCAACACACCTTCTGTAAAGGCTTGCAAGGCACTGGTAGGCCCTTGTCCCAGAGCCCTTTTAGCAATCCTCCGTTTGTAAAAAGGAGGAGCTTGTGGAAATGGCACAACTCACACAGGCAGAAAGTGACCAGGAGGGAAAGACCATGACACCCCCGAATGTAGGAGTGCTCAGTCCCAGACAACAGATCTGATTCCAAGATTTCCTCTTGCCTCCTACTGCCATGTGCCACCCCTGGTGGCTTCTACAGCTTCCTGGCACATCTGGCCATGTCAGAGTGACAGCTGAGCTGCATGGCCTTTCTGGGAGATGAAAACCCATGTTTACCCAAACCAATGTCTACCAAACCCATCAAAACCCATAAAAAAAAAAAAGATAATACAAAATCACTGGTACTTCCTATGTGCATGGTCTGTGACAGATGTCACTCAATGAAAATCCAACTACCAGTGGATAACTTATTGGATAACAGGATTTTGTTCTGCTCCTGAGAAATCTAAGCAAGAGAAATGGGAGAAGATGGACCGAGCGCAGATGGACCAACTGTCTTATCTGCTAAGTGCTGCTGTGGCTGCTGCACATGAATTGTGTCTCATAAGTGATAGGATTATATCGGTGTTGCCATCCCCTGTCCATTCCTTGGGAATTTCTGTTCCCTGCTTAACCTAACACAAGTTATGGACTGAAGGGCAGAGACAAGGAAATGACTTGGCTAAACCTGCTGAGATGCTGTGCACTCTGTAAGACACGATTTGCCATTTCAAACACGCTTTGACTGGCCAGCGTCTGACTGTGGTTTCATGGGACAGTTTGAAAACCAGTGCTGTATAAACACTGATAGCTCAGAGCTGCTTCATTCACCCTCCAGGCTGTGTGCAGTGGCAGGGTGGGCTGGAGGGAGACACCACCTCTTCCACCATCTCACATGTTTTGTGCAGCACCAGTGGAGAAAGAGGAAAACCAAATCCATTCTGGTTACCTGGGTAAGTTTTGGTCCAGCCTGACTCCATACTGGGGATGAAGCTGGGGCTGGACCCCCCACACCAGCACAAGTGTCGGTAGGGGACCCCACACCTCCTTGAGTGCTGCTCCACATGGAGACCTCACCTCAACACCTTCAGTCACCTCCCCAAGCACAGACACCGGGAGTGTGAGAAGCACAGCAGGAAACCTCTACACTAATCCTGCCCTTTGGAGGGGTAGCACACGTGCTCTTTATTTTAAGGTATTTTTTCCCCCATATCATATCTCCTTTCTGCTCATTTGTGGCACCTTTGAAGGTGCACTGCTCCTTCCCATTGACAGACTTGGAATGCTGGCAGGGATCGCAGGAGATAAGAACGATGAGGTGATAAGAGTGTTTAACAGCACTGGGTCCTGGGCAGCACGATGGGCCAGAGGGAAGAGAAATATTTACACTACATCTTGAGAAGGTGAGTGAATAAAAAGGGCCAGAATAATACAGACTCTGAACAAGCAGCTATGCTTAGGAGCTGTAATATAAATCTCTGCAGCCTCACGACACACACTCACTCAAGCCAGGGAGATGAAAAATAGCAAGAAAATACTTCCCTCCACTTTTAAAAAGGGTTTTATTTCTCATTTGTTTCTACTTTAGACTTCAACTTCCCAACAATTTACTTTAACCTCATCATCATTCTCTGAAATTTTCTCTCCAAGAAGACTGAGGGTAAGGCTACAACTTAACATACCATTATATTTACATGCTAATACCCACCAATACTAAAACCAGGCAATAGGGAAAATATAACCAGTCTGAACTCCACCAGATAATTCAACAGGAGACATCCCCATGTGCATCCTTGGTCCCAACTCCAAGGCAGCTCAGGCACTCCCCAAGGACCAACATCATGGGACAAAGGATACAGAGCAACCTCTGCTAGAAGCAAAACCAAAAAGCATGCTCTGGTCATGAACAGCTGTTTTTTGGGGATTGCAAATAACCCAGGCTGACAAGTGCAGGGCATCCTCTTAAATTTGGTTCCTCAATTAACTCTCTCACCTCCCCTGTGTGTGTGCAGGTTTGGCAGGGATCCTTTTCTCACTGAGCTG